GATGTAATCTTTCACTACTTGATGAGTCTCTCTAGCCAAATCACCCATATTGACTAAAAGAGGTCCAACCCAAATATCCAATCATATTAATGTAATATATACGAATGCATGCACTATTAGAAAATAATATTTAATACATAATAATTTCATAAAAAATGCATCTATGATATATGTCATGAATAATACATTTTTTAATCAATGGATTGAGGTTTTGTATATTCCAGATTTGATCACCAACCGTGACTTAATTAATATCGAGAGATTTTAGCCACTATATTTCAACATTCATTAACTTGTCCTTTGAGCTTGCGGCTGTTGCTGAGTACAAGACTGTTGAGATGGCTTGTATCATGCCCTTCTAGACATCTAATGAATAGGATGATGAGGAGACAAAGTCAAACGTTTAGATGTTTAGCATTTTCATCTCAACTAACAGCTTTATTTGTTCGTCTGCTGAATTTGCAGTAAAAAATAATGATATCCTATTGATTTTACATGCAGCCAAATCAATTATTTTCAAGAACTTTAATATTAAAATGATGTTCTTGTTTATGTTGGCAAGAGTGGAACCATCCTGGTCTTTTTGAATAAGGTGGAATCCGACATGGTGGTGGGTCTTTGCGAAAATCTCAAATGGAGTTGTGGGTAATTGTTTCTCCATCCAATCAAAGTTATTAAGTATGATTTGTTTACAGTTATTAAACCTCGTTACAAGTGATTATATTGTCAGGGACATGAGGAATTACAATCCATGTTACTTGAGTTTTACTACCAATCAAGTCATGATCACATACTAAAAATTAATGAACATTTTTTTGCACTGAATTCACACATGTTTTTGCACTTTACTTCCAAAAATCTTTTTGCAGCAACTCATAATGTGCTCTACAAATTAGGAGCCTCAGAGGACTTTTCAAGTTCAAATTGAACCTTATTATATCTCTTTTCATGATCAAGAAAAGTCATCATAATTCATAATGTAGAGATTATTTGTGGTCGGGAATAGTTTTGTCTATTTGATGTGCATATAAATTTTGATGTTCCTCTCACTTTTTTCTATTGAATCTGTATCCTTTAATTTCTTTCCTTGTGTTCTATTTAGTTTTTGCTTTAAGTGTCTTCATTAAATATCAAGTTCATCATATTATTGACGTGTTACATTTGAGAACTATGAATTCATGGCAATATGCTTATTGGAATTACTACCTAAAGCTGAAGGTGATTAGATTCTTATTTATCTGGTTATAAAAAGTTTTGATTGATACAAGTAGAAGTTAAGAGAATAAAGTGAAGTTGAACACTGACCATTCTATTCTTGAATATTCTGAACTTAACAATTGTGGAGTCATGGTACTTATTTATCATTTGTGCATATGAGATTGTGGACATTGCTCTCTCTGTTGACACCATGGTGTAGAATTATGCTTTTATAAACCATTTTTTATCTCTGATACCGTGAGGTAATTTTTAGGAATATTTAATTTTTTTAAATTGAAATATGTATGCCTCTTAAAAAAGCAAAAAGCTAAGAAGAAAACATTATCTTGAAAACAGTTTAGGAAGTTGGTCTTTTGCTTGAAATTTATCAAGGCAATCAAACCAATCATTCTTGAGTAATTTTTATTCGGACTTTACCCTAATTCGAAAAGAAATTACATAATTTGGTGTGTGATCTATTTGGTTTAGTTAATATTTGTTTATAACATCTACTTTTTCATGTTAGTTGTCGCACGTGTCTATGTCACAATCTGTGATTCCTTAATTGATAAGTGGTCCACAATTTAATGTACAATATTTTATACATAAAATTTATGTATAACGTAGTTGTGCAACAAATAATATAATAAAAATCACCAAAATCATGCTCTCAAAAAATTGAGTTAGAATTGCTAGTGTCAATATGACGTTAATCACAAACAATGATGTCAGCTATAGTAAGGGCCTTCAAAAGTCTTCTAGTGTATTTTTATGATATTTTGTCTTTAATCGATGCTTTGATAAATAGTTAGATCAGTGAAATTGGTATTAGAGTTTATCAAGGAGAAAAAGAAAAGATAGAGAAGAAGAGAGAAAAAGAAGAATGGAGAAGCATAATATATGTGTAGATTGTGTTATCCTATACTTTTTTATCTATACTACTAATAAAATTATTTTAAGTGAAAAAAATTTGATTCACTATTTTACCCTTATAAAGAATTTTAAATACTACATTATCTTTTAATACTTAAATATCTAAATTACAATCATAATCTTATGTATTTAAATCTTTAAATTACCCTCTAACATCTCTTTTAATTTTCTATTATTTTTGTATAAATATCAATATCTATAAAAAATTTTAATTCACTGCTCAACCCTTAAAAAAATATATGCATCATTATAGTTTTCAATAATGTGTTCAAAAAGCCTATCAATGGATCATTAATTTTTCAAATAAAAAAATAACATTATGTCTATATATGTATTTTGTTTTCTATCTATACAACTAATAAAAGTACCTAAGAATGAAAAACTTTTGATTCACTATTTTACTCTTATAAAAAAATTTAAATACCACACTTTCCTTCCGTAATTAAATATCTAAATTACCATCATATACTTATGTGTTTAAATCTCCAAATTACTTATAATATCTATTTTAGTTCTTTATTCACTATGTATATATATTAGTATTTATGAAAATTTTTAATTGACTACTTTACCCTTAAAAAATATATGCATCACTATAGTTTTCAATAAAGTGTTCAAAAAATCTTTAAAACTTTCGTCAATCTAACATTATTCATTTTAAATATAAAAACAAATATTATGCCTATATATATAATTTTTTTATCTAAAATTTTAACCATTCATTTTTAAGATAACAAATAATCTTTTATGTAGTTTTTTTTAAAAATAATTTATGTTAAATCAACATAATTCTTCAATCAGAGTAAAATTTTCATGTTTTTTTTAAGAGTTTATATACAAAAATTATAGTGTATTTTTAAGTAAAACTTAAAATTTAGAATTTTATTATTCTTTTAAAATATATATTATAGAGTAGTGCATTATATTTTAAGGTTAATAACATTTTTAGTCTCTGAAATATTCATGTTTTATCAGTTTGATATTCATTGTATCAATTTTGTCAATTTAATTTCTAAAATTAACAGTTTAAATGATCTTTACATAGATAATTTGTTAAATTTTTGACAAAAGTGATCACGTGTTAGTCGCATGATACTAAATGATGGAATGACATATAGTCACTTCCGTTAAAAAACTTAATAGATCGTCTAGTTAGGGACCATTTTAAAAAAATTAAATATTTTATGAATCAAATTGATAAAATTCATATATTAAGGATGAAATTAAAAAAAAATCGCATATTTTAGAGACCTAAAGTGTTATTAACCCTATATTTTATTCTTATTGACCTAAGAATATTAACAATTATTGTTATTTTATTCAAGTTGAAACCTAATCAAACGAATTTCAAATGAATTATTTTTATCTTTTTTCTTATAATTAGAACAATAAATCATTGGGAACAATTTTTTTTTTCGAATTTTATAGTATAATATGAGCGATAAAAATATGATTTTTGTTAAATTTGATATGATATTTAATGTATGTACACATATACCTAATACTTTTTATTAATATTGTGTATACTAAAATTATTCACGTGCAAAGCACGTGTTGCATTGCTAGTTTATACTAAATAGATATTGAGAGTAATTATAGTTTTACCTTATACTAATTTATTAAAATCAATAAACATAAAATTGGTTAAAAAAACATAGAATCAAATTATAATTCGAAACTATAAAACATGGGAGGAAAATATAAGAGAGCAGAAATATATTCCTTGACAGCCCTTTAAAGTTTAAACCTTTTTTTCTTGGACAATGGAGAATTATATTTAAATTCTCTGAATTTTATCACTTAATCACTCAGATTCATTGACACTCAAAATATTACACTCAAATCTCAAGAGGTTTATACGCGCGTAACACTTAAACTCTTTAAATATTATAGGTGTATAATATTTAAACCTCTCAAGTTTAAAATGTTATATTTAGACAAAAAATATTTCAATCAAATGTTTAATATCAAACATTTTAAATTTTACAACCAAAATTCATGTTCTATTATGATATATTTTAAAATAAAATTAAACATAAAAATCTAATTTTTTCTTAAAAAATCATAATTAATATACAATTATACTATCTATTAAAATTAAATTTGGTCGTTTAAACAACTAAATTAAACAACCAAACTACTCTAATTAAAGTAAGAAAAAATTGTGTCTATTACAGTTTGACCTCTTATTTGATTTTTAAAATTTTATTCCAATAAATAGTATAATTTTTTATTAATTATAATTTTTTTTAAAAAATTAATTTTTAATTTTTAATTTTATTTCAATAAATAACATAATAGAACATGAATGTTGGCTGTAAAATTTGTATTTTATTATGTATGACTTAGATCTCTTATTTAATTTTTTAATTTTATTTCAATAGATAGTATATTAATTATGATTTTTAAGAAAAAAAAGATTTTTATTTTTGGTTTTATTTTAATAAATAATATAATAGACCATGAATTTTGGTTATAAAATTTAAAATATTTGATATTCTATTTTTGATTGGAGTATTTTTGGTTTAAATATAACATTTTAAGCTTAAGGAGCCTAATATTATACGCTTACAAACTTCAAAGAATTTATGTATAATTTACTAAAGAATATATTTTTGTATATAATATTTCAAATATTAAAGAGTTAGAATAATTAACTGACAAACTTCAAGGGCGTGGGCGTAATTCTCAGCATAAACTTCACTTAGCTGAATTTACAAAAAAAAAAAAAAACAAAAAAAAAAAACTTCAGTTTGCTGTACACGTGTTTCTATATAATAGGCCTACAAAGTATCCCTACCGATAAGAGTGTTCTTTTTATGGATCAGCATACGGTGAGTCATGTTTCTTTCTGTATCTCTACAACTCCAATGGCTCTCTGTGCCCACTCAAAACTAACCATCTTCTATCATCTTTCCTCCAGCAAAACCATCAACAATAAGCGCAACGGCCATGGCCGACGAGGAAGAACAGGAAGGAACGTTGCTGCGAGTGTTCGGATGATGGCGTCAACCGATGCGTCGATCAGTGGAAGTGGCCAAGCACTGGGGTTTGAGGAGGGACAGCTTGAACGACCACGGTGGACTGGTCAAACTCCTCTCTCTCGCCTCGTTGGAGCCCTGATTTCCTTCAAACCCCTCCACTCAGTCCTCAAGTTCGGAGCTAGACAAGTCCTCATCAGGTTTCCCCTCGTTTTTCTCTGTATAAACTAACACATGTACTATATGCGCGTACATATTTTGATTGGTGTTGTTTTGGTTTTGGAAAACAAATTGAATGTTTGAGATGTGGGTGGAACAGTACAGCCGAAAAAACAAACATTCCATGGCGGGAAATGACGAGAAAAATATTGGAGTCAGATGTCTATGAAGAGATGGAGAGCATCCAGGATCCATCCATTGTGTACCCTGATTGTAATTTCTCAAACCTTTCAAATTCTCATGTTATGCATAGACTGTATATGATATATGAATATGTGGTGCTACTTTCGTGAGGATAGTTATATTATGGGTAAATTGAACCAATGGTTCCTGAAGTTTAACATTTATTAGTCTTTAAAATTTGAATTTTATTAATTTAATTCTTAAAATTTAAATTTTCAGTGGATGTGATTCTTGATAATAACTACCGTAAATAAAAGAGGCGGAAAATGTCATGCTGGCACATGAAAGTGTTGATGGACATTTTTGTCGGCCAATCCCAATACCGACGACCACATCCCCTCCCCTCCCCTCGAGATCCCTGAGCATTGGCAGCCATGCAGAGTCATCAACGACTACCCCATCTATCTCTCTCTCTCTGTGCAAGACCTAAATCAACCCATCTACGACCCAGACCATCAACCAATCTATGACCCGATCTAAATCAACACTCACAAAACTTTAAATCAAGGCCTTAATACATTATAAACCCTAGATTACAACAATGGATACATTATAAACCCTAGATTACAACAATGGCAGCCTCCAAAGTAACCTTGGAGCTCCTCATTGATACAAAATCCTTACTGTTGGGACTGTCATCAAGCTCCTAACAAAGCAATCCACGGTGGGTAGCCTCGTTAATTTCTACGAGAGCATTGAAAATTTGAACGAAATCTATATGGAACTCAAGCAGGACAAGAACTCTCTCTTAAACCCTAAAATCTTCTCTACTAAAGCACCAATTTGGTTGCTCGATGATATCCCAGTGACCAAAAAAAAGCTCCACAAGTGCTCGAAGGAGGAGGCGGCGGCCGGAGAACTGGGAGGCTTTGTCAAAGGGCTGGTCACGTATATGGTGGCCGATGACTTGGTGGTTCAACCTATGTCTACCATCTTTTGCATTAATGCGCTTAACAAGTTCAATGTGAAACAAGCGGGTGCTCTTGTTGATTTGGGGATGGATGAGGTATGCGTTTTGATGCTATACATATATATTTTACTCTGGATCGTAGATTGGGGGAAATGCCAGAGTGGAGAGAGACAAAGCTAGTCAGAGAAAGTCTCTCCCATGTGACTGAGAGGAAAATAAAAAAAAAAAAGGAAAAAAGAGAGGAAGGAGAAGATGTGTGTGTGGTACCATGTTTATTATAATCTAGATGAGAGATAATGGTATTTGGATGTAGGAATTGTTACAAAATACCCACAATGCGCATCAATACTCTCATGTGCCAAACATATGACATTTTTCGTCATTTTTTTTAAGGGCAGTTAGTGCCAAGGACCAGGTTAGCAAAATGTTCGAATTTTAAGGATCAAATTGACGAAATTAAAACTTTGAGCACTAAAATACGATAAACGTTAAACCTGTGCAATTTACCCTTACATTAATTTCTTGGAAAAAAAACAACATTAGAAATTGGAATTGACAACTCCGATACAATTATATTAGCACATTTTTGGTTAAGAGATGCTGTTGTGATGTAATTCATCTGAGCTGTAGAATATTAGTTTGTTCAATTTGGTGGCTTATTCTCAATTTTGGATCACCAGATAAACAAAGTTACTTTGCTGAAGGTATAGATGTAAGTTTGTTGCATTTCAAATCAACACAATGGTACATTGCTTTTATCAGATCTAAATCACAGCTTATTTAAATGTGGATGGATTGATTTGATTGTTCTCTCTTTTGTTTCTTTAAGAAGATTTGTTGGCATAGCCATGGGAACAGCAAGCATCGAGGGTCCCAAAGTTGAAACTGAGTGACACCTCCATTTGAAGTTGTTCATATTTTGTACTGCAGTACTCAATTGAAAATAAGATTGATTATTGGTTTATTCACTGCTTCTCGAACAGATTATTTCAACCCTTTCCATGCCTATGATGAGGGCAACCTTTCCTGGCTGGTAAATTTTCATTCTTTCTATATCTTCTATTGGAAATTGCCATAGTTTGCCTTCATTTGTGACAAGGTTTTATCAATGTATTTGGGAGTGAATGTTCACATGTGTTGGTTGCCTTTGGTTTTGATGTCCATCCATGAGTCCTTCCAAGAACTATGTTTCTGTCCGCTGAGTATTAATTTGCAATATTCAAGTGATAATTTTCTTGCATATGCAGTTTTTTAGTCCCTTCCGTTTTCCAAAATTTTCTCCTCCTGGTTTCTCATGAGAACAGAAATGCATACATACTTCTCGTCCCATCCTCCTGCCGAAAAAAACCAATTACAGCCTTTTCATTGCATATGAAGTACTTTTCACTATTCATGCTTCTGCCTAGAAATTTGACTTTTTTGGTGTAAGAGTTTGGAACTTTTAAGTTCAAATAAATACTGGATTGGGTTGATATTCTGCCTGGTTTTTGTTCACTGAGATTTATCTTTTGTTCATCCCTCCGGAGTTAAAAGTGTATCAAAACTTGGACATCGTAAGTACTCATCCCTTGGAAGTAAAATAATGGTAAGGAAGTGATTGTGTATCTAACTGTAGGCTGCAGCAGAAGCGGAGGCTGCAACTATGTCAATGGTGAGACGAGCAATACCAAATGCTTCTTCACTAGATGAAGCAAATCAAATAGTTCGTGGAAATTGGCTTCAGGCAATTGAACAACATCATCAGCAGCATTCAGGAAATTCCATGATCAGAGACATTCTTGATATTGGTTGCTCTGTCGGTGTGAGCACAAGATATCTTGCAGATAATTTTCCTTCTGCTAAAGTCACTGTGAGTATAGATTTCAATTTGCATAAAAGTCCTTTCATGGTATGGATAAAACTGGATACAATAAGCATAGTACTGCAAAATGTACTAGAAGCTATTATCTAGATTTGATATGAACTCACATTCTCTATTTACATATTTTGTCATGCATTGATGCATCTGCTGCAGGGGCTGGACCTATCCCCGTACTTTCTTGCTGTTGCCCAATACAATGAAAAATATAGCACCCCAAGGAAGAATCCAATCAGGTGGATACATGCAAATGGTGAAAGCACAGGCTTGGCTTCCAAATCATTTGACCTTGTTTCTATTGCTTATGTGGTATGGTTTGTTGTCTAACAACTCAAAAGCATAGATCATAGAGCTTTCACATAGACACAACTTTCTGTTCAAACTAAAACATGCTCCTTCGTCCCATGTGAGAAGAACTTAACATCAACAAAAATACCTATTCTCCAGAATGTCTCTAAGCATGACATAGTCACAGTGGATTTGCTGGAATTTAAAGACTTAAATATACATAATTTTTCTTTGTAAATTTTGTTTGTATTTTTCTAATTTCTCGTACATTATGGTTTTNAAGACTTAAATATACATAATTTTTCTTTGTAAATTTTGTTTGTATTTTTCTAATTTCTCGTACATTATGGTTTTCCCTGCCGAGAGAAAGTTTAGCTCGTTTAGTCAAATATGAATATATTGCTGTTAGAATTCTTATATTCTATGGTAGACATAAATTAATTAGTGGAGATAATATTGTTATTACTCTATAATATTACTTAGATATAAATAAGAGAGTGTAGGACAACCTAGCCTACACATCGGTTTATTCTCTCCGCCTCCCTTCACTCTTCTTCTTGTTCTCTCCTAAACCTAACCCTAATATTATTTTCAATGTGGTATGAGAGCACAATTATTTGTTAATTAAAAAAAGATCCAGGCACTAGAAGACTTACCGTTATTGTTTACACGCTAGAGATTTCTGCCAGCAAGTGACGTCATGTTGATGTGTGATCATTGTTGTGTTGACTGATTTGCTTAGTTTGTGTTATTCGTTGTTGTAGCCCACACATTGCACACATCATACTCTGATTTGATGGTTGTGTTATATTTTTGTTATGGCGACTCTTGAAGAGGTGAAGGACATGNAAAAAAAAAAAAAAACAAAAAAAAAAAACTTCAGTTTGCTGTACACGTGTTTCTATATAATAGGCCTACAAAGTATCCCTACCGATAAGAGTGTTCTTTTTATGGATCAGCATACGGTGAGTCATGTTTCTTTCTGTATCTCTACAACTCCAATGGCTCTCTGTGCCCACTCAAAACTAACCATCTTCTATCATCTTTCCTCCAGCAAAACCATCAACAATAAGCGCAACGGCCATGGCCGACGAGGAAGAACAGGAAGGAACGTTGCTGCGAGTGTTCGGATGATGGAGTCAACCGATGCGTCGATCAGTGGAAGTGGCCAAGCGCTGGGGTTTGAGGAGGGACAGCTTGAACGACCACGGTGGACTGGTCAAACTCCTCTCTCTCGCCTCGTTGGAGCCCTGATTTCCTTCAAACCCCTCCACTCAGTCCTCAAGTTCGGAGCTAGACAAGTCCTCATCAGGTTTCCCCTCGTTTTTCTCTGTATAAACTAACACATGTACTATATGCGCGTACATATTTTGATTGGTGTTGTTTTGGTTTTGGAAAACAAATTGAATGTTTGAGATGTGGGTGGAACAGTACAGCCGAAAAAACAAACATTCCATGGCGGGAAATGACGAGAAAAATATTGGAGTCAGATGTCTATGAAGAGATGGAGAGCATCCAGGATCCATCCATTGTGTACCCTGATTGTAATTTCTCAAACCTTTCAAATTCTCATGTTATGCATAGACTGTATATGATATATGAATATGTGGTGCTACTTTCGTGAGGATAGTTATATTATGGGTAAATTGAACCAATGGTTCCTGAAGTTTAACATTTATTAGTCTTTAAAATTTGAATTTTATTAATTTAATTCTTAAAATTTAAATTTTCAGTGGATGTGATTCTTGATAATAACTACCGTAAATAAAAGAGGCGGAAAATGTCATGCTGGCACATGAAAGTGTTGATGGACATTTTTGTCGGCCAATCCCAATACCGACGACCACATCCCCTCCCCTCCCCTCGAGATCCCTGAGCATTGGCAGCCATGCAGAGTCATCAACGACTACCCCATCTCTCTCTCTCTCTCTGTGCAAGACCTAAATCAACCCATCTACGACCCAGACCATCAACCAATCTATGACCCGATCTAAATCAACACTCACAAAACTTTAAATCAAGGCCTTAATACATTATAAACCCTAGATTACAACAATGGATACATTATAAACCCTTGATTACAACAATGGCAGCCTCCAAAGTAACCTTGGAGCTCCTCATTGATACAAAATCCTTACTGTTGGGACTGTCATCAAGCTCCTCACAAAGCAATCCACGGTGGGTAGCCTCGTTAATTTCTACGAGAGCATTGAAAATTTGAACGAAATCTATATGGAACTCAAGCAGGACAAGAACTCTCTCTTAAACCCCAAAATCTTCTCTACTAAAGCACCAATTTGGTTGCTCGATGATATCCCAGTGACCAAAAAAAAGNTCACAAAGCAATCCACGGTGGGTAGCCTCGGTAATTTCTACGAGAGCATTGAAAAGTTGAACGAAATCTATATGGAACTCAAGCAGGACAAGAACTCTCTCTTAAACCCTAAAATCTTCTCTACTAAAGCACCAATTTGGTTGCTCGATGATATCCCAGTGACCAAAAAAAAGCTCCACAAGTGCTCGAAGGAGGAGGCGGCGGCCGGAGAACTGGGAGGCTTTGTCAAAGGGCTGGTCACGTATATGGTGGCCGATGACTTGGTGGTTCAACCTATGTCTACCATCTTTTGCATTAATGCGCTTAACAAGTTCAATGTGAAACAAGTGGGTGCTCTTGTTGATTTGGGGATGGATGAGGTATGCGTTTTGATGCTATACATATATATTTTACTCTGGATCGTAGATTGGGGGAAATGCCAGAGTGGAGAGAGACAAAGCTAGTCAGAGAAAGTCTCTCCCATGTGACTGAGAGGAAAAATAAAAAAAAAAAGGAAAAAAGAGAGGAAGGAGAAGATGTGTGTGTGGTACCATGTTTNGTGGGTGCTCTTGTTGATTTGGGGATGGATGAGGTATGCGTTTTGATGCTATACATATATATTTTACTCTGGATTGTAGATTGGGGGAAATGCCAGAGTGGAGAGAGACAAAGCTAGTCAGAGAAAGTCTCTCCCGTGTGACTGAGAGGAAAAATAAAAAAAAAAAAGGAAAAAAGAGAGGAAGGAGAAGATGTGTGTGTGGTACCATGTTTATTATAATCTAGATGAGAGATAATGGTATTTGGATGTAGGAATTGTTACAAAATACCCACAATGTGCATCGATACTCTCATGTGCCAAACATATGACATTTTTCGTCACTTTTTTTAAGGGCAGTTAGTGCCAAGGACCAGGTTAGCAAAATGTTCGAATTTTAAGGATCAAANGCGCATCAATACTCTCATGTGCCAAACATATGACATTTTTCGTCATTTTTTTTAAGGGCAGTTAGTGCCAAGGACCAGGTTAGCAAAATGTTTGAATTTTAAGGATCAAATTGACGAAATTAAAACTTTGAGCACTAAAATACGATAAANGTGCATCGATACTCTCATGTGCCAAACATATGACATTTTTCGTCACTTTTTTTAAGGGCAGTTAGTGCCAAGGACCAGGTTAGCAAAATGTTCGAATTTTAAGGATCAAATTGACGAAATTAAAACTTTGAGCACTAAAATACGATAAANAGCATGCTCCTTCGTCCCATGTGAGAAGAACTTAACATCAACAAAAATACCCATTCTCCAGAATGTCTCTAAGCATGACATAGTCACAGTGGATTTGCTGGAATTTAAAGACTTAAATATTTTTTCTTTGTAAATTTTGTTTGTATTTTTCTAATTTCTCGTACATTATGGTTTTCCCNAACGTTAAACCTGTGCAATTTACCCTTACATTAATTTCTTGGAAAAAAAACAACATTAGAAATTGGAATTGACAACTCCGATACAATTATATTAGCACATTTTTGGTTAAGAGATGCTGTTGTGATGTAATTCATCTGAGCTGTAGAATATTAGTTTGTTCAATTTGGTGGCTTATTCTCAATTTTGGATCACCAGATAAACAAAGTTACTTTGCTGAAGGTATAGATGTAAGTTTGATGCATTTCAAATCAACACAATGGTACATTGCTTTTATCAGATCTAAATCACAGCTTATTTAAATGTGGATGGATTGATTTGATTGTTCTCTCTTTTGTTTCTTTACGAAGATTTGTTGGCATAGCCATGGGAACAGCAAGCATCGAGGGTCCCAAAGTTGAAACTGAGTGACACCTCCATTTGAAGTTGTTCATATTTTGTACTGCAGTACTCAATTGAAAATAAGATTGATTATTGGTTTATTCACTGCTTCTCGAACAGATTATTTCAACCCTTTCCATGCCTATGATGAGGGCAACCTTTCCTGGCTGGTAAATTTTCATTCTTTCTATATCTTCTATTGGAAATTGCCATAGTTTGCCTTCATTTGTGACAAGGTTTTATCAATGTATTTGGGAGTGAATGTTCACATGTGTTGGTTGCCTTTGGTTTTGATGTCCATCCATGAGTCCTTCCAAGAACTATGTTTCTGTCCGCTGAGTATTAATTTGCAATATTCAAGTGATAATTTTCTTGCATATGCAGTTTTTTAGTCCCTTCCGTTTTCCAAAATTTTCTCCTCCTGGTTTCTCATGAGAACAGAAATGCATACATACTTCTCGTCCCATCCTCCTGCCGAAAAAAACCAATTACAGCCTTTTCATTGCATATGAAGTACTTTTCACTATTCATGCTTCTGCCTAGAAATTTGACTTTTTTGGTGTAAGAGTTTGGAACTTTTAAGTTCAAATAAATACTGGATTGGGTTGATATTCTGCCTGGTTTTTGTTCACTGAGATTTATCTTTTGTTCATCCCTCCGGAGTTAAAAGTGTATCAAAACTTGGACATCGTAAGTACTCATCCCTTGGAAGTAAAATAATGGTAAGGAAGTGATTGTGTATCTAACTGTAGGCTGCAGCAGAAGCGGAGGCTGCAACTATGTCAATGGTGAGACGAGCAATACCAAATGCTTCTTCACTAGATGAAGCAAATCAAATAGTCCGTGGAAATTGGCTTCAGGCAATTGAACAACATCATCAGCAGCATTCAGGAAATTCCATGATCAGAGACATTCTTGATATTGGTTGCTCTGTCGGTGTGAGCACAAGATATCTTGCAGATAATTTTCCTTCTGCTAAAGTCACTGTGAGTATAGATTTCAATTTGCATAAAAGTCCTTTCATGGTATGGATAAAACTGGATACAATAAGCATAGTACTGCAAAATGTACTAGAAGCTATTATCTAGATTTGATATGAACTCACATTCTCTATTTACATATTTTGTCATGCATTGATGCATCTGCTGCAGGGGCTGGACCTATCACCTTACTTTCTTGCTGTTGCCCAATACAATGAAAAATATAGCACCCCAAGGAAGAATCCAATCAGGTGGATACATGCAAATGGTGAAAGCACAGGCTTGGCTTCCAAATCATTTGACCTTGTTTCTATTGCTTATGTGGTATGGTTTGTTGTCTAACAACTCAAAAGCATAGATCATAGAGCTTTCACATAGACACAACTTTCTGTTCAAACTAAAACATGCTCCTTCGTCCCATGTGAGAAGAACTTAACATCAACAAAAATACCTATTCTCCAGAATGTCTCTAAGCATGACATAGTCACAGTGGATTTGCTGGAATTTAAAGACTTAAATATACATAATTTTTCTTTGTAAATTTTGTTTGTATTTTTCTAATTTCTCGTACATTATGGTTTTCCCTGCCGAGAGAAAGTTTAGCTCGTTTAGTCAAATATGAATATATTGCTGTTAGAATTCTTATATTCTATGGTAGACATAAATTAATTAGTGGAGATAATATTGTTATTACTCTATAATATTACTTAGATATAAATAAGAGAGTGTAGGACAACCTAGCCTACACATCGGTTTATTCTCTCCGCCTCCCTTCACTCTTCTTCTTGTTCTCTCCTAAACCTAACCCTAATATTATTTTCAATGTGGTATGAGAGCACAATTATTTGTTAATTAAAAAAAGATCCAGGCACTAGAAGACTTACCGTTATTGTTTACACGCTAGAGATTTCTGCCAGCAAGTGACGTCATGTTGATGTGTGATCATTGTTGTGTTGACTGATTTGCTTAGTTTGTGTTATTCGTTGTTGTAGCCCACACATTGCACACATCATACTCTGATTTGATGGTTGTGTTATATTTTTGTTATGGCGACTCTTGAAGAGGTGAAGGACATGCTGGTTGCAAATCCTGTCCGACAAGTTTTGTGGATGAGCAAGTTACGCAGATTACTTTTGTGAAGTTAAATGGGATCAACTATTATTCTTGGTCTTATGCAATCAAAGTTTTTTTGCGTGCAAAATGGAAAGTCAAGTACTTGACTGAAAGTCCTCCCCCTGAGACCTCCACAGATGTGGAGTGAGAATTCTTTGGTGATGACTGGGTTGTGACGTAGTATAGAGCCTGGTGTAGCTTCGAATGTTCGACTTCTATTTGAGACTCTCTTGAGATGTACTCGCAAGAACATAATGTGTCCTGTATGTAAGAATTTTTTGATCGTCTGTTTAATACCAAGCAAGGGAGCAAGTCTCTGGCTGAGTATTATGGGTTATGAGAGGAGCTTCTCCTTTATCAACCATTGAGTGCGGATCTAGAAGTTCAACAACGACAATGTGAAGAATTTCAGGTTGTCTATTCTTATTCAATCTTAATTTGAGTATGGTATGTTAAACGATCATATTTTGGCTAGTGAGAAACTTCTAACTACTGTCAATACTTATTCCCGTCTTCAAAGAGTCTCTTTGACCCGTGGAATTCCATTACCCTAATAGGAGTCCTTTCCTTTACTCTCTATTAACAGTAGTCATGGTGGTGGCCGTGGTGATGGTCGTTATCTAGCCTCAAGTGGTAATTATGGTGGTAGACGCATTGGTCTTGGCAATCGTTCTAATTGAAAATGTTCTTATTTTGGAGTTGATGGAAATAGTGAGGATTATTATTAGGATAAACATGGAAGACTAGCCTATGATGATTCAACTCTTGAGACTAGTGAACCTACTACATCTACATTTGGCTCTCATGATGGTCTTACCTCTCAGCTTTGTTAGCTCATCCAGCAGTTGTCTTCCTTCTCTTCCCATTCGCATCCTTTAGTTGCTGGTCTAGACACTACAGATAATTTTGCACATGTAGCAATCCAATTTACCTCACCATCTTGGATTATTAATTTGGGAGTTGGTGTCCACATGTCTAGTATTGCTTCATTGTTTTCTAACTTTAGTTCTTCTAGCTCTCGTATTATTTTAGCTGATGGTTCCTTTAGACCAGTATGTGGGATTGATGATCTCCATCCTACTAAATTCATGTCATTAACATTTGATTTATTTATCTCTCAGTTTTCCTTTAATTTGTTATCTGTAAGTCAATTAACCAAGTCTTTACAGTGCGTAGTAACCTTTTCTCCATCTTCTTGTATTTTTCAAGACCTCCGTACGAAAAAGGTGATTGTTCGTTTCATTATGGTGTATCTTTCATTATTTTGTGATCTTTGTTGATAATTATTCTCGTATGGCATGGTTGTTTTTTATGAAAGATTATTCTGAATTGTCTAAGTTTTTTTTTAACCTTTTATAATGAAATGAAATCCTTGTGTAGGTTGATAAACGAATTAAGATATTTCGTTCTGATAATGCTCTTGAGTATGCACAATTTTTTATGCATACATTTTGTGTTGATCATAGTATCATTCAGCAGATTATTTGTCCACCATAGTTATCAAATCGTGTATCGGAAGACATATCGCTTTTTAAAAATAGTGTATTGTATCGTGTATCGTGTAATTTTAAATAAATAATAATAAAATATATATACTTTTGAAAAAAAATCATACACTCATAAAAATATAGTAATTCAATAATATTCCACCAACTATTCAAGTCATCAACATAGTTTACTAATATTATAATGCAAAGTTCACAACTATAGTTTACTAGTTCACAACTATAGTTTACTAATTCAAACTTCAAACACCCAAGAGACTTCTTACTAATTAAATGACTAACTTAAGTCTGTTACCACTAATCAGGTTGTTTCTTCTTCCTTATCTAGATTGCCATGTTCATTCCAAACATCATATCAGCATTGTGAAAGATATCCAATTGTTTATCAATTTTTTCTCTCACAATAGGACTTGGGCGCATTCTTTGAATAGTCTGATAAAGTCCCATTTTTATCTCATTGTCTGCACTACCGTTAAAGTAATGAAATCTGAAATAGTTATTTTGATTTATAATGATCATTGATCAATATACAATATATAGATATAAAATGATATAAAAATTAAGAAACTTAAATCTTACCCTGGATTGAGATAATAGGCGGCTGCATGAAGAGGTTAGTGTAATTGCATGTTCCATCTAGTGTCAACAATAGTCCATATGGGCTCATAGTGCCTCTTCACATTACGAAAATTCTTTTGGATTTGTTCCATTGTCTCGTAAATATATCCCATGACAGGCTTTATATCCCCATCTACAAGTCTCAACACCTTCATCAATGGCAACACACACTTGAAGCAACACTTAATTGATCCCCAAAAATTTTGGTCAGCTAGTATAATATTCATCACTTTTACACTGTCTTCCTTTTTAGAGTATTAACTTCTCTGCCATTCTTTAGAAGTAAACATTGCTCTAAGTCCAATTTTATTTTCAAATAAACTTCTTAAAGTTAAATATGAGGTGGCAAATCTGATCACACAAGCTCTCACCAAATCCCTTTTCTTTGTATACTTCCTCATAAGATTTAACACCTAATAATGTCTATAAATATAAACTATGATTTTTCTTGCCTTTGCCATTATATCTTTGTGTAGAGGAAGGTCTCCAATATCCGTCAAAATAGGATCTAGGCAATGTGCAACACAAGGAGACCAAAACTACTTTTTCCTCTTTGTCATTAACAACTCCCTAGCTTTTACATAAGCCGATGCACTAGTGTTGTGAAAAGTGAGTCTAGGTGAGTACTTAAGCAAAAAGCGAAGCGAGGTTAAGTAAAGTGAAGAAAAAAAAGCTTAGGCGACAAAGCGAAGAAGCGAGTTAGGCGAGAAAAGCCAACGTCTAGTTGTAGTTTTTTTTATTTTCTCTTCCTCTTCCCCCTCCTCCTTCTTCTTTAATATTAACCAAACCCTAGCAGAGATGATGTTATATGTGTATATGTATAAAATAAATTGATTGATTCGTATAACAGTATCATATGACAATCTGTCTTATTATGATTACATAATGTTGAATGATTTGTTTTAATGTGAATACTCTTGTTAATCAATTTGCTTGGCTAATCAAATTGATTAATCAATTTGTTATATGTTCTATTTGATTAATCAATTTGTGAGTGCTTTGTTTAGTGGTGATATTAATCAATCATGGTGGAAGTCAAATCCACATTTGCTAACTTTACATTTAGATAATGTGATTATGTCAATTGATTATTTTTAGAATAAAATAATGTTTAATATTTAATATCTTGTCTATTTAAATATGTTGATATTTATAATTTTAACTGCATTTAAATATTTTATATTTGTAAAGTTAAAATTTGAATATTTAGGAGTAATCAAAATATAAAACTAAAATATTTGCTTATTTTTTATATTGTTCGCTGTGCTTCAATGAAGTGCTCGCTTCACTTTAATGAAGCGCCTAGGATTTCAGGAGACCGGTTTGCTTCGATTCGCTTTAATTTGCTTTACGCCTTAAATAACATTGCGATGCATTATCAGTCACAACCTGAACAACATTATCCTCACCAATCTCTTCTACCATTGAATCTAAAAGTTGAAAAAGATTATTCGCATTCATACAAATGCCTGAAGTATCAATACTTCTAAGAAGCACACTTCCTCTAAAACTATTCACTAAAAAATTAGTGATAGAGCGGTGTTTCTCATTAGTCCATCCATCAGACATAAGAGTACAACCCGTCTTTCTCCACTCTGCTTTATAATTTTTCATCAATCCACCATTAATCAAATTTGTTGCTTTTTTTAAAAAAGAACATCTCACCTCATGATACGATGAAAGATTCAATCCCTTGCCAAATGATGCAACAGATTCTAACATTCTTACAAAATATGGATCCTTTACCAAATTAAAACGAAGGGCATTAGCATAAAAACATCTATAAATATCCAAGCATACATCTTCTTTACCCTTTTTCTTCAACATGGTATTCAAAGTAATGGTGGTGGCTAGTTGTATTTTATCAGCAGTAGTACTACCCACATTGCCACTACCACTTTTGAAGGTTTTCGAATCCACAAGACTTATATATTTGCTAGAAACCCTATCATCCAACAATTGCTTAAAAAATTTAGTTACTTCCTCAAAGCAATGCTTACATGACACTACATCTTTATGATTACCTGCCAAATAATTTTTCATTCTTGAAATGCCTCCTTAATAGACATTTGCATAATGAATGTATTTCAATTTCAACCTTGATCCTTTTACTTTGTCAAAATATTTTCATGTGGGATCATTAACAAGTTTTTTAGTCATTTTTATATGAAAATAGGATGCTGATGATGCCATTGCTTCAAAAAATTAACATTAATCAAGATTCAGAAATTTTGATACAAAAAAAAATATATATATTTAGCTTTATAAATAAATTAGCAACATTTCTTACACTGCACATGTTTAACTGGAATAGCTGGAGAAGGAAGGAAGAAGGCAGCTGCAGATCCAGATTTAGGGTTGCTTCGATGACTTCTTAAGTTTTGTTACCTTCGTTGATGAAGAATAGAGAGAAGAGAGAA